TTCTAGACTTAATTGACACTTTCAGCAGAGTAAGTATATACAAGGTCAACACTCAAAAATCAATAGCCTTCTTGTACACAAAATAACACTCAATAAGAGAGAAATTAGGGAAACAATTCCTTTCACAACAGCATCCAAAAAAAGAAGTATCTAGGAATCAATCTAATGATGGAAGCAAAAGACCTCTACACTGAAAGCTACAACACTGAAAAAGGAGATCAAAGAGGATATAAGAAAATGGAAAGATATCCCCTGTTCTGGGTAGGAAGAATCAACACAGTGAAAATGGCCATACTACCAAAACTGCTATACAGATTCATTACAATCCCTATTGAAATTCCAACAGTATACCCCCCTGAGCTTGAGAAAACAATCCAAAAATTCATTGGGAACCAGAAGAGACCTAGAATAGCAAAAGCAATTCTAGGCAACAGACACATGACAAGGGGTATCACAATCCCCAATCTGAAACTACTACAAAGCCACTGTGATAAAAATAGCATGGTACTGGCAAAGAAAAAGACTCGAGGATGAGTGGATTAGATTAGAAAATACAGAAATAACTCCAGATGTACTCATCTACCTCATCTTTGACAAAGGAGCCAACCATCCTCACTAGAGGCAAGATAGCCTCTTTAATAAATGGTGTTGGAAAAACTGTTTTTCACCTTGCCACAGATTAAAACTAAATACTTATCTTTCACCATGCACCAAACTAAAATCAAAGTGGATTAAAGATCTAAATATTAAAACAGAAATTCTAAACTTGCTGGAAGATAAGTTAGGCAGAACGTTGAAAGACACTGGCATAGGAAAAGACTTTATGAACAAATCCTCAGTAGGACAGGAACTAGCATAAAGAAGCAACAACTGGGATCTCATCTGATTAAAAAGCTTCTGCATTGCAAAAGAAACCACCAACAGAGCTAAGATTCAACGTACAATGTGGGAAAAAATTTTGCTCCTCAGACAAAAGATTATTATCTAGAATATATAAAGAAATCAAAAAAATTAGGCCCCTTAAAAACCCACTTCAAAAGTGAGCATCTGACAGATGAAAACAACACTGAGATTCCACCTCACCTCACAAAGAATGGCTGCTATCAAGAAATCAAACAATAACAAATGTTGGCAGGGTTGTGGGGAGAAAGGAACCCTTCTCCATTGTTGGTGGGAGCACAGACTGGTGCAACCACTGTAGAAATCAATATGGAGATACCTCAAAGAGCTGGGACTAGAGGTTCCATTTGACCCAGCCATCCCTCTGCTTGGTATCTTTCCAAAAGAATTAAAAGAATCATACCACAGTGATATATGTGCACCAACGTTTATAGTGGCACAGTTTGTAATAGCTAAAACTTGGAAAGAGCCCATTTGCCCATCAGTTGGAAACTGGATAAAGAAGATGTGGTTTTTCTATAAAATGGAATACTACTCAGCCATAAAGAATGAGAAACTAGATTCATTCGTAGGAAAATGGATACATATTGGGGATATGCTCCTAAGTGAAATAAATAAGTCACACACATGTAAATACCGAATAGTTTCTCTGGTGTGAA